GCATTGAGTCATGAGCTTTCTTGTAATCAATCCAAGCGGTGCACAGGTTGGTATGTCAGGTTTTGTAGTCTCGGGCGACTGTGTGGTCTACAAGGAGTTGGTGTTTGGCTCCTCTGCTATTTATGCCGATGCCTTTCTGTGCCGTGCTGATGTATTTATCCATGTACCCGCTTATCTTAGCCGCTATGATGCCTGACATGAGCTTCCATGTTGTAGAGAGACAGGTTATCGGCCGATAGTTGGATGGGACTGAACCCTTTGAGGGATCCTTCTGGATCAGGATTGTGCGCCCTTCAGTTAACCATTCAGGGTGAGTCCCATTTTCTAGCAGCTGGTTCATTTGGGCTGCCAGTCGCTCATGGAGGGCAGTGAGTTTCTTTAGCCAGTAGGCATGGATCATGTCAGGYCCTGGTGCTGTCCAGTTTTTCATACCCGAGACTCTTTCTTGGATATCTGCCACAGTGATGGTTACCGGGGCTTGTTCAGGGAGGTTGCTGTGGTCTTCTCGTAGAGAGGTTAGCCACAGTGCATTGCTGTTGTGGGACACCCCCCTTTCCCATATGCCTTTCCAGTATTGACTAAACTGCTCTGTTGTCATTACCCTGCCATTGAGAGTACACTTTAGCTGGTTGGGTGGAGAAGAGCCGGTTAATCSWCCTGGCTTCATTCTCTCTTGTGTATCTCTTTAGGCGGCTGGCCAAGGCTTGGAGCCTTTGTTTGGCAGTTTCGAGTGCTTCAGGWATGGGCATCTGGCTGTACTTCTTGAGTACTGATCTTTTCATTGCACCACTTAGGAGCTCTGACAGTTGGCTCACTTCCCTCCTTGTTAYCTTGATCTTAGCCTCTAACCATCTTTTCCACGGTGGGTATTGGGTCCCATGGTTGCTCTTATAGCCAAGCATCTCAAGGATCTTATCAGCTCATTGGTTTCCGTTATGGTGTTGGTAGGGATCGTTCTCAATGCTGCATTCACATCTTCAATGAGACTTTCTGATCTTTAAACATAAACTGTATCTGCTGGACTTTAACACAGGAATTTAGATAAGTTATCTATATGGATAAATAGTTTACTTTTACAACATGGTTGACTGATGTCATTTTAATTTGGCCAGATTTTTAGGTTATTTTAATATTTAAACTAGGCAATATCAAGGACATCAGCTGAAATCATAAAAAGCCTTATTATCTATACCAGCTCCTGCAGGGTCAAAGCTCAGCCACAGGTCACTCTCTCTCTCTGTCTGTGTGGCCCTGCTGTGTTTCACACCAGCTCAGCTAAGGGACAAGGACAGGTTCAGAGGCAGGACTTGGTGAGGGTCTTACTCGGGAACCTCAGGACCCTACTCAGGAGGTTATCTAGTGTTTTTTTTTTAGGAAATAATACAGTTGACCTTGTGTTTTACCACAGCTTTTTCTTTCTTCTCTTCATAAACTAAACACATCATTTTAGCAGAAAAGTACAAACCTCCAGTTTTTTCTTGAGGACCAGAAAGGCATCCACAAATCCCCTGCGCATGTCTGGGTTCAGGCTTTGTTTCAGTTGACCAAAGAGGGCAAAGTTCTTTATTCTGATGACAGCATATATGTTGAATAATACCCTCCTGTTTAGGGATCCAYTTAAAGAGGGATGGATAGATATTGTACATCTGTGAAATATTAGATATTCAGTTTGTCAGTAATAAAGAACAAACGTTAAGCTCATTTCTTTAATTTTTGTCATGGGCTGGGTCCAAATTCAGGGGCTGCATCCTCCGAAGGTCGAATTTGTCAGACACTTATGTCACAGCGGCGCCATGTCCAAATTCGAAGGCTCCCCAGGGGCCTCAGGATTGCGCAGGTTTCACATTAAAAATTGACATAGGTACAAATTTAGAAAAGTGTGCCGCACCAAAATATTCAGATGTATAAAAGTGTGCGCAAGCAGGTTCCTGCGCACCTTTCCTTTATACATCCCAATGAACGTGGAACTGAGCGCATATGAGACACCTCCCCTGACACGCCTTCACTTATAATATGTAAAATAGATGTAAATGTGTCCAGCGTGTGAGATTCTCCTCAGACTGTCCTCTCTGTGGGATCAGAAAGGATTTTTAGATGCAGGAAAATTATACATTAAATGGAGAATGAGTGAGAAAACTGTCTAAGTAGTGGAGTGTAAAAAYGAGTTTRCTACTCACAAAGGTGTGTGTGTGTKKKKGTGTRTRYGCRYGTGTG